AAATATTTATTTTACATTTCAGAATATAAAGCAATGTTAATTCAGCTGGTCCAGGGTCACATACATATATATATATATATATATATATATATATCAACACGGTTCCAGTGATGATCTTTGGAGTTTTATATAATAATGGGTAGTTTCTTGCGTGGACAGAAATGGCACAACAATATTTGAAGGCAAAGTTTTGTTTTCAAAGCATATTTAAATCCATGGACGCTCCTAGTTTCTGTAAATTAAATGTATGGAATGTTCTTCAATTTTTCCACTCATTTTAACCAATGAATGGACATGACTTTTCCAGTCATTCATGATTTACTGGATGAGGATTATTATCGGTAAGGATTAAAATATATATATATATCCTATACATATATATATATATATAGAAAATTATATTCATTATTATTTTAATGTTCATGTGTAAGGTTTCATTTGTCTTATTTTAAATCATCTCAAGGCCCCCTTTTGGGTCCCGACCCTCTGGTGGAGAACCACTGGTCTACAGGTATATTACACTGTAAAAGCATTTTTAAATGTGTTCATATGTGGTAATAGAATACGTATTTTCTATATCATATTACAACAAAGCTGAAAATAAGCAGGAGGTTCCCATTAGACATCTTGCCCCACTATAGATGTCGATTTTAGTTTAATGAACTTTATTTTTTCCTTTAGCAATAATGTTGACAATGTTCAACAGCTTATATTGTAGTGCTGATTTTAATGGGTTTATTTATTAGAAACTGGATTTCAAAAATAAACCAACAACGAGTAATATTCACTGGAGTGAACAGACTGACATCTTAACCTTGTCTCCGCTTAACCCCATTTTTTTTATTTTCATTAAGATTTTTTTTAATGTCACATTAACACAATTTGATAAATGATTTAGTCTTTAAAAACAAACAAACACTAAGAACACTGTAGAACAATTCAATGTATAATTGGTAATTAAGTAACATTAGAGAATTCTAATCTAGTATTTGGATACTGTTCCAAGTTGCTGTATGTGTCTAAACACAGTCTGGTCTTGCTTTAGATCAGCACAACCATCTTTTATGCAAATATATAATTCACAAATGAAAAAAAAAAGACCAATGAAACAACACAATTACATTATTAATAAAACACATGACAGAACAAATAACAAGATATGAAAACGTAAGAAGTTCTGCTAGAGGTTGTGATGAAATGCCTCCCTAGGACACACACATGATGGTTTAATTGAGGTCAGTATTTTTTTTTAAATTGGGTTGATATATAATTTGCTCATTATTAATATCTGCTTCATTCAGTTGTAAGAAAACTGGTACATACAGCTGAAGAATATACTGTCACACAATCATGCTTTTGCTGGTGTGAGGTTACAAAGCACCTTTTCAGCTCAGCCAGAGGATGCACTTGGTTAAATAAAAACTACTCTACTGTATTTTTGTTCAGCCCGTGTGTTGTAACAGCAAATACTACATTTCCTAAGCAAACAGTAGCTTAGACAGCAATTACACAATCACATTCTTTGTCATCTGTACTCTTCTCAAAATAAGCCCTGGGCAAAAGGTCCTGTAAACAAGCATCACATTCAGTTACTCACTTCATGCTACTAATCTAAACAATAAAACATTCTGGATCTACTTAACCAACTTGTGCTGCTAACTGATTTGCTGCACTGATCACAAGTCTCTTCTCTCTTATGAATAGATGAAAGATCATAGATGTATTCGTAAAAGCAACAGCACATCCAAAAATGAAACAATCGGTCATCATTTACTCACCCTTGTGAATTTGATTTCCTTAATGGAAGATGTTTTGCAGAATGTTGACACAGCTCATTTGCATACAATGCAAGTGAATGAGAACTGAGGCTGTCAAGTTAATATGAACAAGACATTTATGCAAGCATTGTAAATGTACTTTATACGACTTGTGCAACAGATTCTACGTATATCAACTTAAGCCATTTGATAGATCTGTGTGAGGAACAGAAGATTTTAAATCTTCCCTTCATAACCATTGGTTATGACAAACACAATAACCAGTCAAGTTTGGCAACAATGACATCAAATCTGGCATGATGCGTTTTCACATGCCATATGCAAATAAATGCCAATAAATATTTGATTTAAGAGCTACAGTGGAGGGAAATAACTGACTTCAGAATAACACGAATATAGCACATGATTCGTTACTTTTTTGATACTTCAAAGGAATAGTTTACCCAAAAATTTAAATTTGCTGAAAATTTCCATCCAAGATGTAGATGAGTTTGTTTCTTCATTGGAACAGATTTGGAGAAATTTAGCATTACGTCACTTGCTCACCAATGGTCCACGTTGCTCACCAACCAGTGAATGGGTGCCGTCAGAATGAGAGACCAAACAGCTGATTAAAACATCACAATAATCCACACGACTCCAAACCATCAATTAAGGTCTTGTGAAGCCAAAAGCTCAGAGTTTGTAAGAAATTTAAATACAAGTCCTCAATGCATAATGTTGCTTTCTCCAATGTCTCATCTGAAACAGTCCAAAAACAGTTCTAAACAAATATGTCAGTGGATTTTGATGTGAGAGGACAACAAGGGATGGACTTTTTCACTGGAGGAAGCGTTATTATTGATTATGGACTGGTATTTTGACCAGAAGCAAAGGCTTAAAGTTGAAAAGCCTTAATGATGAATGAATTTGTTTCTTATAAACATGGAGCCTTTTATTTCCAATCTTTTTATTGTCATTTTGTTAGGACAGTATGAATATCACTTACATCAAACTGATCAGAAAACCACAAAATGTCCTTACAAACATGGAGCTTTTTAAGTCACAAGACATTCATTGATGGACTGGAGTTGTGTGGATTACTTGTGGATTATTGTGATGTTTTTATCAGCTGTTTGGTCTCTCATTCTGACGGCACCCATTCACTGCAGAGGATCCACTGGTGAGTAAGTGATGTAAGTAATGCTAATTTTTTTTTTCAAATCAGTTCCAATGAAGACACAAATTCTAAGGCTGAGTACATTTTCAGCAAATTTTAATCTTTGGGTGAACTATCCCTCTAATGGTGCTTTTTTGAAATTATTGGAGATTGACGGAGCAGTCACTTTCATTTTATGAAAAAAAGCAGTGTGAAGACTCTGCATCTCACTTCTCATTTTGGGTTTGGAGCGAGGTGAGTAATATGATGATGGGATTTTCGTTTTTGTGTGAACTATTCATTTAAGAGTTTGGCAAACAATTTTTGAGAAGTGCATGCTGTTTCCAAATGCAGTTTATTTTGTGCATCCTTTGTGCAGGATTGAGTACGATAAATAAGTGTGTTCACTTTGCCCATTGGCTAATACAGTTCATGCGAACATGACGGTGCTGTTGCATGATGTAATAAAAGGTCAGCTAGTCATTCTTTGGCGAGTCTCTGTATTAGTGAATACCATTCTGTCCGTTTCCGTGTAATGTAGGTGGGTGTTATGATCGGAGCGGGCAGGTGGGGACAGCCCTCGACTCTAGCACTCTCACATAGAGCCTCGGCATTACAGATCACATACATGCCACAGTCATAGCTGTTCTGCTGCGAGGGGCATTGCTCCTCCACAAAGGGCACTTTCGCTCCAGTGCCTAGAAAAGCCTCCAACTTGGCTGCAATACGCCTGGCATGCAATGAGTTGCTTCCACTCTGGGAGTCGTAGTGGAAGAACTGGCTGGTGTCTCGCCGATAGAGAAGCAGGCTCCAATGGGAGCCACCAGCCGTTTGATTAGAGTTGTCATTGACAGCCAAAAAAACCCACCGACGAGACACAAGATTCAGCGGCTCCAGGAAAATGGTGAGCTCTTCTTGACATGAGGCGTACTTTATAAACTGAGCGACTTCAGGGCTGATGAAACAGATATTCTCGCCCAAACTTTTGAAGCGCTCTGTTGCAAAGTACTCAAAGGCGAAACCTATGACCTGATCGTCGAGCCAGTGGGGTCCGTTTAAAAGTGCCACGTCTGAGCGCCGCAGGAGACTGTCCTGGTAGCTCAGTACCACTGGATCCATCCTCAAGGCAACCCGAATGACAGCAACAGTTACTGTGGGGATGAGAATTGAGAGATTTCATTGATTTGCATACACAGTACCATGTAATACCTTTAATGCTTTTACCTTAAGTACATTTACATTTAGACATTAAGCAGACGCTTTTATCTAAAGCGACTTACAAATGAGGACAATGGAAGCAATCAAAATCAACAAAAGAGCAATGATATGCAAGTGCCGTCCTGAGTTCAAATTTTGACTCGAGGACCTTTCCTGATCCCGCCCCCCTCTCTCTCTTCGCTTCCTGTCAGCTCTGATCTGTCCTATCAATATAAAAGACAAAATCACCAAAAAAAAAAAATAATAATAATAATAATAATAATAAAATAAATAATTGACACATTTCAGCTTATCCAAAATTCGGAAACTCGGCTATTAACTAGAAAGAGAGAACATATAACTCCAGTTTTAGCTGCTTTGCATTGGTTTCCTATTAAATTTAGAATAGATTAGATTAGGTCCTCCTCTTTACGTATAATTTTAATAATTATAATAATTTTACGTACAAAGCCCATAATGGACAAGGACCAAACTATATTGGAAAGTTATATTCCGTCAGGAATATTAAGATAATCTGCTGCCGATTTATTGGAGGTTCCAGCAACAGATGCAAGAAAATTTAAAAGAAAGTTAAAAATGTTTATAATTAGTATTCTATGTATTATGTTATTGATATATTGTATTTTTATGCATTACTGTTTTTTAAATCTTATATGTGTGCTGTATTTATTGCTATGCTATTTTTATTTGTTTAATTTGTGTGTGTGATGTATTTGATGTTTATGCTTTTATCTAAAGCACTTTAAGCTGCATTACATGTATGAAAGGTGCTATTTAAATAATGCTGTTTATTACATTACATGTATCTATCTATCTATCTATCTATCTATCTATCTACCACTGTACCAAAATACTAACACAACACAGTACTTTCTGTTTTTCTTACCATTTTTGTATGGCCGTTACTTTACTTCTATTAGTACAACTTACTCTGACCTGTACTTCTTGTATTAATGTTAAGACTATTTATAATGTTATTTTATACGTGCTTCAGCATTACTCAAGTTCTCTCAGCTTTCCTAGCAGAGAAACCACAGGTGTAGCTCATCACATTAGCTATGAACGTCTTCAAGTAACAATACTTTTTGTATTAGTTGTAATTAAACAATGTATTTAGTGCTTATTTTGCATTTGAAACCTCGCAAACTTTTTTTGCTTAAACAGTTTGAGTCTAAATACTTTTTGGGATCATTTTTACATTGTTTGATATATGTCACTTGTGTTGTCAAAGTGATTTGGAGTTGCTGAGGAAAGTTTGGTGGCAGTGTTGTTTCCCAGCAGAGCCAGCACAGGTGATGTGAGGAATGTGAAGGGTCTGCCTCAGCTGTCTGAGAGATTGTGCCATGCCATGACTTTACTCCGACAACTGTCTGGCCGTGTATATGACATCCAAGTAATTAGCTAAAAACCTCCCCGTGTGGTCAGAGAGCTGCAAGCTTTCGAATCAGATTTACAAGTCACCTCACCACTATAGGTTACTATTGTTCTAAAAGCATGTGCTTACAGAAATGTACTGTGCGAGTGGTGTACAGTGGTGGTGATATCATAGTCCTGAATTATTATGTTCATATATTTACATGACACTTATTCTAAGCATACCATGGTGCTATAATGTATTTAAATAAATTGTTAAAACAACAGCAACAACATCAACTACTGTACTACCACCATAGACTTTTTGTTAAAATTCGTGAGATATCTTTTAAAGGGGTCATATGATGCTGCTAAAAAGAACATTATTTTGTGTATTTGGTGTAATGAAATGTGTTTATGCGGTTTAAAGTT